TATGGCTCCCAAGTGAACTTTATTGTTGCAGTTTCTTCGGTTGTGGGTATCTTTTTATAATCTACGAGTATTAATCCGCCTTTGCAACATTTTTCTTTATTTTTGTTGCAAATGAAAAATTTAAATCGCGCATACGCCGCATTGGCCATGCCATTATTTCCACTTACAACTCTTTCCTTCTAAATCGGTTTTTTCATCCCCGCTGCTCATCTTCTCAGCCTGCTTCCTCCTTCTTTCTGCTTTATCCTGGTGATTGTTTGTTTGTATTTCCCAGAGAGAACGAGAGGGTGAGAGATAGCGAGATGGTGAGGGGGTGAACAGTGGAGTGCTGTGGATTGTGTGGAGTGTTCCGTTATAGTTTCTGGTGGTTGTGTTTCACGTTGTTGGATTTTTATTGTTACTTTTTATGTGCCGTATACAAGTTTTTATTCTGTGCTTTATATATTCCATAGCCCCCCCCGCCCTTCTTCTTTTCTTTCTCTCTATATATTTTTTTCTGCGCAGCAAAAACTTTCATTTTATTTATTTCCTTACTTGCAAGTGCCTGTGCCACGCCCCATTTATGCAGCAACACCATTGCCCCCTGCCAACCGGCACAATGAATTCAAATGGAAATATTCGCCAGCATTTAATACGGGAATGGAATTAAATGGAGGAACAGTTTCCCCACCACAATCATCCACAAAAAATTACAACATTTTTTGTGGTGCCGTCTACAGCCGATAATTTATGAACTTGTCAAATGCGTGTCTCACTTTCAGGACGGGACGGGACTGTACCGTTCCGTCCCCCCATCTGGAAATTTATTCATGCTGGCCAAAAGAGTTTCTTTTATTTATGCTGGACAAAAAATGCTATAAAAAAAAAAATTTCAATTTTATGCGCAAGGCTATGGTATGTCAGGGCAATTATTTGAGTGTGTTTCCGACTCTTTTCGGTTGGTCTCTGGCTCTGGTTTTTTCTGCCGCGCGTACACAAATTAAATTTGCAATTCTTTTGGCCGAAAAACCCCAGACAAAAAGGTTAACAAAATCATGTGGATAGCTGCACAAAGAATGGTTAGGGGCACGGGTTAAGCGCAGAGAAACAGTTGTGGTACAGTCCAAGGTACAGTCACTTCAAAGGGGTAAACAAATGGCATAGCATATAAATACCAAACACACCCAAGCATAAGTTTCATTTATTGCAATTGAATTTCAATGGCTTTATGAATGTATTAGCCTTTTATTGGTTAAAGTCTTTGAAAATAAAATAAAATATTACATTAAAATATTTTAATGCTAAAATCATTCTTTTTAAATTGTAAGACAATTCTTGGAAGAAAGTTTTATTTGTTGCTTAGTTTTTAATGTAAAAGGACTACAGTTTCGTTTCCCAAGGGACTCTACACATATTCAACAACTAAGAACCTCAGTTACCTCAAAGCTGGGCTAATACTTAGCTCAGATATGACAGCTATAGGTATGGATGTGACAGTTATATGTTTGAAGTGTTCACTGGGTTATGGGGTCAATCCAATTTGGGGCTGGCAATTCTTTCGCTTTTCGAATTGCAATTATTTCTGTTTCTGTTCGATTTTTGGATTCTTTATTGAATTTCCATTTCGCTTTCGGCAGCACCCCCCCCTGCACAACCCACCGGTTATTAATGTTAATGTGGCAAACGCAGCGAACAATGAACTGAGCAGAGAATTGGCAGCCGGCCCTGCCCTGGCCCCGGCTTCCTTCTGACATATTTGTGATCTATCAAAAAGCAATTCACTCAAACATCAACCATCAACCATCTGCATTCATTTGGATTCCAACCCTGCCATCCAACCATCCGTCCATCCATCCATCCATCCATCCATCCATCAATCAATCAATCATTATGCTCATAAAAATTAGCAACATGAACCGAATGGCAAAAACGGTAAACGGAACAAATGAAATGCCAACCTTTTTGTTTGTTCCGTGGCCTACTCAAGCCACACAAATGTTTGCATTAAAATTAATTACAAGAAGCATTTTCAGTGTGCAACATTTGTGTGTGTGTGTGTTTTTTATCAGCGCTCAGCTCTGATGTGGCTTCCCTTCCTGATGAATACAAATTGCAGACAGACTCGTAAAATATGAAACATATTAAAATGCGAGCCGGGACGGGACGGGACGGGGCGTATGCGCAACTCCCAAGATTATAGCCGGAGACCTTAGGGCGCCCCTGGGCGACAATAAGCACTAAAAATCCATCAAAACTGTAAAACACACACATATGGCCATGCCCACACAAAGGGCGGGACAAATGTCCCACATTCCTACCGAAATTACCCCATCGCACAGTGGATAAAATTACAAATCTAGCACGACAAAAAAAACTGTATTTAATATTTACAGAAATATGCCGGAAAAAAATCATTATTATTATTTGATATAGCAGAAAAAGTAATTGAAAAATAGTAAATAAATTATATATAAATTATTAGAACAAAAGTCTTTAAATGGTATTTATATATATATATAGATAGAGAGAAATTTCTAGCCAAGAATGCAACAAAGAACTTCCCTGAAAATTTCAAATATTTTCCACCAGAAATCAAATGCTTAAACTGACAAAATAAGACACATTTATAATCCATTTTAAATCTATTCCCCAACTCTACTTATGCCCCTCTAAAAGTATTTTTATCTGTTTTCCCACGAAAAAGTTGGCCAACTCCTGGGCGACACCTTTCGAACACAAAGTTTTATTTGGATTCAAAAAGAGATTCCATTTTATTTTATTTCATTTTATTTTATCTATTGTTTGAACCGTGTGAACCACATGTAGTGGAGGGCAACACTGCTCCGTGAGTGCGGTGGGGGTGTGTGAGTGGGTGGTGTGTGGTGTGTGGGCGTGGAACTGTTGGAAAAATCTTACAAGCCGTTGAGTGACACGCACAGGAAGAGTAAAGGGGGTGTGTGGGGGGGGGCAAAAACATCTCTTGAATGTTTGTTTTATAAACGAACTTTTTTATTGCCACAAAGTGGCAAGCGACAAGCCAGAAAATGCCCCAACATAAGCCGCATGCGGTTAAGGTGCGGCGGGGAATTGATTCGAGAGTGAGGTAAACTTTTATGGGGCTAACATTGTTTTTTTGTTTGTTTTTTTTTTTGAATGCAGTTCTCCTCTTTCTCTCTTTCGCTCGATTTCGATTGACATTATATACATATATATTTATATAGATTATTTATTTAATGTTTGTCTGTTCCCCGTTCCACCAGAAATTCCTCTTTTCTTGGCTCCTCATTTCCTGTGTCTCGTATTTGTTTGTTTGCCTTTCCAACCACCCTGCGCCCGCTCCCTTTGCTGTTGCTGCTGCTGCTGCTCCCCATTCCGTTAGAAATCGGAAGTGTTTTCCCATCCCTCTTCTTCGTATTTTTTGGGGGGGAACTCTTTGATTTGATTAGTGCTAAGCCATAGCCATCCACACATACGCCACATACCCCCCTTAACTGATTGCTCTATGAATGAGAGTCCCAATGAATGGGCCACAAAGAAGAAGAAAAAATGTTTGCTCTTCCACCCCCTTTTTTTTTTATGATTTTCGGTTTTTTTTTTCGCTCCCAATTTTTCAGCACCGAAATTGATTTGGCTTCGTCAGCATTTTCCGATATGTGTGTGTGTGTGTGTGTGTATACATATATCTATAAAGAAAAATATATGTTGGGGAATGCTGCTGCTGCTGCTGCTGCTTCTACTGCTGGAATTAGCTTGTTTCCTGAGCTGTCGCTGCTCGGTGTGGATGCCACATGATGGGGCCAACATGTGCCACGGCATCTCCCAGTTCCCAAATTGAGTTACGAAAGTGGAATGATGTTAATGAAGCTCCAGCAGCAGCAGCAGAAGCAGCAGGAGCTCCACCAATTGCATCCCAGCCATGTCCATGTGCGATGTCCAGCCATGTCCGAGTGTGAGCGGGTGAATGTTTTTATTTTTGATTTTCCACTTATATTTCCACCAAAAAGTTGAGTCTTCTCATTCAGGGCATTTAGGGCGGGTAATGGTGCATCCTTTTAAAGCTTTCCATTGCCCTTCTTTCTCTCCTTTCGTTGGTTTAATATTTATTTTGTGTAATTGACATATTTGCTTGAATTACATTCAATCAAATCCATAATCTTACTCTCTACCCTTCGTTGCTGTTTTCTTTGCTTGCACATTTATCTCTTGACTCATTCATTAGACACTCATTAGTCAAAGCCAACGACTCACGATGATCTACGCGTATGCGTTTTCCCATTCCCCCCCCCATTCGGGATTCCACCCACTTATCGAAATCTTTTTTCTTCTTTTTCCTACTTGGATGCGTGGCTATTCTTTGCAACTCATTAAGAAATCATTTTTCAAGCAAACAAACAAACAAAATGAAGACAGAAATACACAGAAATTGTATCTTCAAAAATAGAAACACAACGACACGACCATCAGCATCAGGGGGTGATGAGGGTGTGCGGCGTGCGGCGTGCGGCGTGGCACGCACTTGTTGAAAACATTGAGAAGATGATACAGATATTTTAAATTGAATTCAGGGTCGATTCACGCAGAACAGTCGCAAATTAGCGGAAGTACAGAAAGATTTGGAAAACTTACCTTGATTTTGTTTTCTCCTTATTTTTGCTGCTCCATTTGTTGTATTGAATTATTCGTTCGATTGTAATTTAATTAATCGCGCACTTAAATTTGGATTTTAAACGTGGTTTTCATATATTTATGATGAATATTTCTCATTGTTGTTTCACTCAGAGTCATTTTCAAGCCACAAGGTCGAAGGTCGAGTCACATCAGAACTCTCCTCGCTCACTCTTCTCTCTCTCTCTCTCTCGATGCTGTAATTTTCTGCCACCTTCTGTTTCTTTTTTATTGCTTTATATTTGGAGCGTTCTAATTGCTTTTGTTCGAATTTGGTTATTGATTTTCGTTGAATTTCTGTTTGGGTTTTTGCCTTTGGTTTTTTTGGTTTTTGTTTTTTGGTTTTGTTTTGTTTTGGTGTGTGTTTTATTAAACTTAAATGCAATTTGTTCTAATTAATTTATATGATATGTTGAATTAATTGCATTTTACTTTCGTAATATATTTGGACTCTATTTCAGTCTATTTGAGCTTCGTTTACTATCATTTATTAGTTTATTTTTTATTAATTTACTTAGATTTGAATTTGAATTTGAAAATATTTCAAATGTATAGAAGATTCTTGTAATAATTCGAAATTTTCTAGCTTCTGTTCTGTTCTGTTTGCTCTTTGGTTTTTTTTTTTTGGTTTGGTTTGTCTTTAAAAATTGTCTTTTTTTTTAGTTTGGAGTTTTGTTTGCTTCCTCTGACGCCTTCTGCAAAATGACAAAAAAGAAAACAGTTTAATGTTAGTAAAACTTGAATTATTTACACACAAATATAATTTATTATTGGGGTTAATATAATTGGCTAATTTAATATTAATATTATAATATAATTGTATTATTATTTTGGAGACTGAATCTTTGCGCTGGCTGATCTATAAATTCTAATTATATGGCTAATTAGCCAAAATTAAATTTTAAAATTGAACTATTATTGTTTAATAGAAAATAACTACATTATTTTCAATTCCAGGCTTAATCATCTACTTAATGTTATAACACTTCATTATTTGTGCATTCTGTGTGCTTTATTACAAGCTAAAGCTCCCTTTTCTGGGCTACGTAGGACTCCCAGTGACAGAGAAAGAGTATATTGTGGTGGGAAAGAGAGAAGGAGATAGAATTGGCGTTCCCATTGAATTATGTTGCAATAAATTTCACCTCATAGGCCAATAATGATGAAAACTTTTGGGTGTTGCACATTTCATTCGTGCCTTGCCTATGGGTTCTGCCTGCCTACCCTCCCTCAACCCATAACCGCTTACCAACATTGCCACATCTCCTCTCTGCTCCCATCCGCTCACTCTTTGCCGCTCTCCCGCTTTGTTCAACTCTCATTTGATTCGCCTTGCTCTTCCTTTATGCCGCTGCCTGCATAACAATGTCCTACATTCCCAACACGTACCATCGACAGCAACAGCAACAGCAACAACTACAACAACTACCAGCTACAACAACGATGGAACGATGGATGCTATTTAACAGATGGGCGTGGCTCAGCCCCCGTTCCCACCCCACCACCCCACCCCCCACCACCCCTTTCAACCCAAAAAACCCAAACAGACCACAGCGCAGTGCGAGCGAGACAGACAAATGCGAAAATTGCATACGAAAAGCCCAAACTTATTGAGACAGAAGAGTGGCTAGAGGGGGGTTCGTTCCTTCGGTCTTGTCAGACATGTTTGTATATAAGCCATATGAGCTACATACATACATATGTACATGCATGTCTACATATGTGTACATAAAGGCATATGCAGTGCCTGATTAAAGCCAACTTAAAGCCAAACTGCAAAAAAGGCAAGCGAAAACTTGCCACAAATGGTTGAAAGGGGCAAAGAAGAGCGACAGAGAGAAGGAGTAATAAGAAAGAGAAAGACAGAGACAGTGACAGAGTGAGAGTGAGCGAGAGAGAGAGAGAGAGAGTAAGAAAGAGTGAGCAGAGGGAGGAGGAGTTAAGTGCATAAGAGGCGAGGGGAGTGAGGTGAAAAGTGCAGAGAGTGACTGGAGGTGACTGCATAATATATGCACACATCGCTCGCGCCTTTCCATTCTCTTCTTCTTCTTCTTTCTTCTTTTGGCTACCATTTCTCTTTCTTCTGCTGCTGCCTCCCCTTTCCAACCAACCCCACTCCTCCTCTTCCTTCTCCTCCTCCTTTCTTGTTGATATATGGTCTAGTACAGTTAAGTAGTTACTATATAGTACGATGAGGCCAACACAAACATTTCCGGGCTGCTTTCGTTTTCAAGACAAAGCCAAAAGTCGAACTTGTTGGAGAAACTCTCTTGGCGGTTGGCGGGACATTCTGTGGGGGGTTGTCGAATGTCGGTCACGAGAAGCAGTACAGCTAGAACGTAGCGTATGATGGGCAGACGGGGTTTTGGGGGAAGGGGGATGGAAAAATATGGGCGGACGACATAAATTGGCGGCGTTATATGTATGAAAAGTCATGCCATTAAATAAATATTGTATAATGCAATGTCTGTCTTTCCCTTACGCTGCTCCCCATTATTCTCTGGTGGCGGAGAGGAGCCTCTGCTGGTGTGTCGTGTGCCCCCGAACTATGTAATTAAATTTGTGGTGTTTTTCTTCTACAGTCTAATTTCGTTAGTTTGCAGCAATTTGCATATGGGTCCAGGATAGAGGACTAGGTCCAGGCACAGGCCACAGGCCACAGAAACCCATCGTCCATTATCAAATATACCACCTCCCCCATCTAACATTTTTCCATCCCTATCCTCACTTTGCTCCGTTTCTTTCACGGGTGTTTTTCGAGTTTAAAAATTGTCTGCGGCTTCACGCTTAAAGCCCCTGGAGTATGAGTTTTAGGATTACTCAGGTGATGATGAGGATTATTTATTCTCCATATTATTTCTACCTTTTCCCGACATTCTGCTATATTATCTTTTGTAAGTTTTTCGCGCTCACTGGCAAATATTGTTTCGACACCTTATCTAAGCTTGCATATTATCTGCCTTCAATATATATGTTTATTCTATGTGCCCTGTGCCTTGTCTTCTCGTTATTCCAAGCACTTTAACTTAGTTAGTGCATCGTTATGTACCCAAGACCCTCTCCCGCTACTCTTTCGCCTCACATTCGCCCACCTCTTGTTCTTGTTCTTGGTCTTCTTTCCACTTGCTCTTCAGCTCCATCATCGTCTCATCAGCGCGCCCCGAAGCACGCTCATTCACACTTATCGAAGCATACTTATGGGCGCAGACGACGCTTAAGTGCATGGCTGCTGCTGCTGCTGCTGCTGCTGCGGGGGCGACATTTTTTGTTGGTGTGACAAAAAATACTGTTGTTGAATTTTGTTAATGTAGTATAATCGTTGGAGTAATATTTTTTTGGCATTACTAATGTTGCATTGGTGTAATTGTTGTTGTTTAAACAATGGATATTGCTGAACTTTAATTTTCTTGTCGCTATAGTGATATTGGTGAAAGTATTGTTTTTTTTCTTTTGGAATTACTGTAGTTGAATGCTGTGACTAGTGTTGGAATTTTTGCCGTTATTGCTATTTTCGTCAACAAAAATGTTTGCATTATTGCTTTTGATTTTATGGCAATATTTTATTGTTGTAATTACTGACATTGTTCCTACAGTTAATCAAATTCTAATCAGATTTTCTGTCCCTTCAGTAATTCGAGTTGTTGTTGTTGTAATTGTCAGTGTTTTTCAGTGTTTTTGCTACTACAATTGGTGAACTTCAGACACTGTTGGTGTTGTTTTCACAGTTGTTGTAACTTGTTGTTATTGTGTCTTTGTGTTCGTATAATTTTGTTAATTGGGAGTAGTAGTTTTTGCCGTGTCTTTAAGTGTTGGTATCTCCGATTTTCGGGGCACTCGTTTGAGTATTATACTCGTATGTGCATAATATTTACCCACTAAAGCATGAGACAAAGAGATAGTAAGAGCGAAGGATACAGAGATACAGAGTGACAGAGAGAGGGAGGGAGAGAGAGAGTGAGTGTTGGCCTGTAATTGCTATTTACACTAACACATGCTTACACACTTACACTTCTACAGAGACAACAATTATGTTTGTGTGCCTGATTTGATGGCGATAGCAGGGCAAGGACCATCGGGCCATCGGGCCAGAAACCAAATCAAAGCCAACAGCAAACAAATAAACATACACACAGATACATAAACACAGATACGGATACACATACACAGACAAACACACACACACACACACACCGACACAAATACGATGCATGCAAAATTTCTGCAATGGTTTAATGCGCTACTCTCTTTCTCTCTTACTCTCGCTTCCTAACTTAGACTCTCGTGCCCCATCGCATGTATCTGATTCACTCTTCGACCTAAAGACCATTTAAACTGGGACAAATGAGGCCAGGCCAGGGCAGGGCTGGGCAGGCAGGACAGGCCCAAACGCCAGTCCTGCGACCAGGCAGGCCCAACAATGGCGGGGATATGTCGAGACAACAATAAAGGAAGCAGCACCAGCACCAACAGCAGCAGTAGCAGCAGCAGCAGTCACTTTTGTTTTTAGCCCGCATTATTTGCCATTATGCAGTGCCTCTGCCTCTGCCACTGCCTCTGCCACTGCCACTGCCTCTGCCGCTACCCGATGCCGCGTTTTTGCCTTCACATCTATGGGGAGCTCCATATCAAACAGCAGCTATATCTTCCATCTCCCATCATCCATCCCCCCCTTTCTCACACCATCTGTATATATGTACATACATACATATATACATATGGATTTTTTCTGGCTTAAAAAAAAGCGACAAATATGCGACATGTTTCGCGACTCACTCTCTTTGTCGCTCTCTCTTTAGCATTGTAAGTTTTTTTGTTCTGCTATTTTGTTTCCTTTTTCCTCTCGTAAATTAGGTCATACTCGTGATAGGGAACGAGCAGCAGCAGCAGCAGCAATAATTTCTATGATGAGCAAAAGTACTCGAAGTATAGATACCCAGGACACCTAGCCGCCTCAAAAGATGCTCAGGGAACAGAATTAATTCGCTATTCAACAGGCTAAGCACCCACGTACACGTTGTATTCCAATTTATCTGCAGCTTTCATATACATTTTCTTGAAATTTTGGAATATTAATTTTATTTAATGACGTCTTTTGTGTGGTACTCGTAATATTTTATGTATTTCAATTGTAAATAGATAGCTTCTTCCAAAAATTTAATTTAATATCCTGGATATCTTCTATACATTTTTAATGTCAGAAGTTCAATGTTAAAATAATATTTCCCGTGTTATTTTTTCTCATGTTGTTGCAATGAAAATAAAAATTGAATTCAATTTTGTGTAAACATTTTTAACAAATAATTCTCCAATCCATGCTTTGATTTGATCAAAAATCTTCGAGAATTTCTATAAATAGAAGTAATATTGTAAATAAATAAAATTGATGGATAAATGGATGATTCTTTGAGTTGGATATCAGATTTCAAGCTAAAAGGGGCCAATCACAGAGTGACAGCTCACAAGCATTTAATTTGAAGATATGCCACCTTTGATTCATAAAAATTCCTTATAAATACGCTGCATTCTTCAAGTTCGAGTCGCACGCAAACATCGAAACATCGATATACCCCTCTACCATCATATTCCATATAGGCATAATATTTTGACTGCGTTTCTGATGACATTTGGTGCGCTTGATGCGCTGGCACATCGACTATGTAAATGTATTTCATTTAAATTTATTTATAATATTTTTCCACTATGTTTGTTGTTCGAAAGTTGTTTTTTTTTGTTCATTTTCCATTGAATGAGTTTTTGGTTTTTGTTCTTTTACGTTATTTTTATTTTGTGGAAAATATTGCAGTTTATGGACATGATTTCCTCTTCACTGCTGGGGTTGTGGCCGCTTATATAAATAAATAACGAATAACGGGATGCAAAAATAGAATTGAAATGAAATTTCATGTGTCATTATATTGCACAATTATTTCAATTGTTTTTTTCCACTGCACTTTGCAATGCACTCTGCATTTTCCTCCGTCCTTTCTTCTTTTTTTGTGTGTGTTATTTTTGCATATTAAATATGAAAGCGCCAACATTTGCATTAATTTTTTGCTGCCATTTTGATGTGATTTTTTTGCATATTCGCATGTACTGTTTTCCTTTTTTTTTTATTTAATGATTTAATATGGCCAGTGGGGAACCTTAAAAGTGGCCTGAGCAGTGGGTGTTATTTGTGAGAGAGGAAGTCCAAGTGAAAAAGGAAATTTGCATTCTGCATCTCTGGAATAATTTTCCCTGATTATGCCTCAATGATAGTGACAGAATTTGCAAATTATTCATGAAGCGTTGAGATGAAATTAATGTGAATTATTTGCACAAAGAGTTTTTGCAAAGTTTTCTCTGATCAAACCTTCACCATAAATTAATGTGCACTGAAATTCGATTCGATTCAATGAGTACTCAATGCAAATTCATACGAGTTATGACACTTTGTGTCATGAATATCTTCCATTAAACAAAAGCAAGAGAAACATGTATTCAACTACGATTCACACAAAACTATTCAGTTTCCTCCGATAATTTAATCTTTGTAAGTCTTCTATCTGAAATCTTTTACATTCGCATGAATAAAAGTTTTAATTTCTGACAAAACTCTTGATAATTATCTGAGAACCAAGGCTGAAAGAAATAGTGTCGAAAGTGTGTCCATCTGTCAATAAAATTCCTAGAACAAAATTCGACCATAGTCTTGTCTTAGTACCCCAGAAATTTCCATCAAAAATATATCTAAGATAATGTAATATTATCATTGTTTGTATTGAGTATTTTACAGAAGTAGGATAAGGGAATGTGTAATTTTTAACTTTATTTGCTGACATCTGCCGACTGCCGACTCAACTTCTGAAATCCATATATATATCCAGCAAATATTTCAAGTAAGTTTTTTCAAGAAATTCCATAAGAAAAAGTCTTTAAATTCAGTAGCTGGAATTTTCTGATCAACATCCTTTTAATAATTTAATGCTTCCACGACAAATAAATACAATGTGAGAATTTTGCCATCAGAAAAGATAAAAGAATTTGTCTAATTAGCAGTAAAAGTCTAGACATATATCAAAATTCTTAAACCCTCATAATTTTTGGGGGTACGAGATAGTGTGAGAGTGAGAGGGCTCCCCTCTGCATTGAAATTATTAATAGTACGGGTCTCTAGAGATCTAGATCTAGTGAGAAAGATCTACATATGTAGAACTGCAGGAGGAGGAGGAGGAGATGTATCTAGTGCTGCGGTTCGCTGGGTTTTCAATGAGCGATGGCCAGACCCGAAAACTTGCCGAAAGACATGAACAAATCATCAAATCAAAACGAGATTTATTTTGAAAGAAAAATATAATTCTTGTTCATTTTTGCCGTTTTGTTTATGTTTGTTTTTGTCTGGGGGGGGGAGAGCGTCAGCTGGTTCCCTGGAGAATTTTGTATAAAATCCTATAATTTATTTTGTTTAAAAAGCGTAAAACTTTTTATTTGAAGTCCCAATCGAAGTGGCAGCAGCGGTGGCAACGGTTCAAATTTTTGATGAGATAATTTCAGCATATTTATATCCCGTCCCCTCCCATTTCTGCTGAACAATCCAAATAAATTTAGATGAATCTTTATTTATATTTATATTCATTTATATTTATGGATTGTACAGCATTGGATGGATATTCTCTGGCTCGTACTCGATCGGGAATGGAATTCCATTATTTGAATCGCGCACGAAAATACCTTTTTTTTGTTTTTGGTGTGAGTGTTGCATTGTTCCCTTGTGCTAACATTTTATTTATATAGAATATGCTTTGATTTTCAATGAAATACTAGGTCAGTTTTTCCTCTCACATGGGGGGAAAGATGGTTCTCTTAAAAGCGGAAGTGCCAAATATCATTTAAACAAAACATAACAAAAAAAAAAAAGAAATGCAGGAAAAAACACACACAGGGGTATGGTACATATATTTATTTGGGGGGGGGGGACACACACACCTTGGGCCACTCCTCACTCTGCCGCAGGGGCAGTGGCAGTCCAGCCGGGAGATTCTTGGGCGGGATTTCTCTTTCCTATGGGGCATTCCATGATCATTATTTGTTTTTATTTTTGTTTTGTATTTCGTGTTTATAGTTCGAGCGGGTTTTCACTTGTCCAAAGTACTTTTCCCTGTGACTTTTCCTCGAGTTGCTGTTGCTGTTGTTTTTGGCTTTGGTTTTTCATGCACACGCACTGCATTTGTTGAAACATTTTGCTGTTGGCATTATACGAGTACTCGTAATTATTGTTGCAACTGCATCTTGTATTATCATTTTAATCATTTGGATTTTAATTTGAATTTGAATTTGGACATTCGTTTCGATCTGTGTGGCAAGCCTACAACACCGCACGTTGTTGTTTTGTATTTTTTTTTTGTTTTGCTGCTAACGTTGTTGTTGTGGGTTTGTTTTTTTTTTTTTAGATTATAAAAAAGAGACACGTTAAAAAAATGTTGAAAAAAATTCTCGCCGAATTGAAAATCGCGCGACAAGAATAAAACAATAATTAAAACAGAAAGATCCATCCATCCTCTCACTCTCTCTCTGTGTTTGTGTGTAAGAGTCCGCGTGTGTTTTGTGTGTGTGTGTGTGTGTGCGCTCTGGCGTGCCAAGTATTAAGTGGGAATACTGTTTCAGCTTCCGTTTCCGCTTTGCACTGCACTTCCGTTCGGCGCTTCGATCTCGACACGACTCGGAATGCGACTCGACTCCGCTTTTACTCCGCTTTCAGAGGAGCAGCAGAGGCCGGCTGCCGCCGTTCCATCGTGGCGTTCGGTCGGTCGGGTGGTCGCTCGGTCTCGGCCAAACTTCGCACGCAACGCCAAAACGATGCGGCCTCGGCTGCGGCACCGATACTGCAACAGCGACGCTGGCAGCGATGCGGACAGCGACAGTGACAGACAGAAGAAGTTGCACCAAAAAAAAAAAAAAACCGAAAAACTCTCACACACTACTTCGAAAACTTTCGAATTTCTAGCTCTTTTGAAAATCTTTCGATTCCCAAGCTTCTATTTTTTTTCTTTGCAGAATTCTCAGCTTACGAAACTTTTGAGCTTCTTTTTCGGAACATTGCGCCTTGAAAGTTTTGAATATTTTTAACAGAGAATACTTGAAAAGAAATCTGAAAAGACTTCGGAATTTAAACTCTTGAAAAGTCAAAAGTCTTTATATTATAAAAACTTGAAATTAACCAGTGCAGCATTTTGGAATTCTAAATTTGGAATTTTCTTTGGTAATTTTTGGGATTTTTAACTGAAGCTTTGGAGTTTTTCCTTGCGACAATTGAAATGGTGGCAAAGTTTTTGGAGTTTGAGTTTCTTGTTTTGTTTTCGAAAGACTTCACTTTATCGGAAAATGTTCACATTAAAAAACTATGGAATTGGGATCTGGAATGCTACGCTTGCCGAAACGGCAACAGAGACTCAGATCAGAATTGGGATCGGAGGCCGGAAACAGGAGCTTATTCAAATCGAAACACACACAAATCAAACACGCACAGCCACGCACGGTGAACAGGAAACGTGGGGTAAATGTCGCGAGGCGGGTTTTCAATTTTCAAGTTAAGTTTTCGAAAAACCACAACGGAAAACACAAAAGAACGAAACAGTTATGGTACGGTACGGTACGGCAAAGGTATTGGTATTAGGTATGTGGTGGAAAGCCAGTGGTGATAGTGTGTTTGGAATATTGAGAAAGAGCTTCTATCGCAGACAGACCCGTCAACGTGTGCTCGCACGCGGAAAAACAAATGTAAACTGTTTTTGCTGCACGGCCCGTGGCGAGCGTTTGGTTAGCGTAAAAGCAGCAAAGGCAGCCGAACCGCCAACAGCCCCCCGAAGGTGCCAAGCAGCAGCAGCAGGAGAGCCCGAAGTCTGTCCACGAATGCGGTTCCCAGACAGACAATGAGAGAGCGAGAAAGTGGGTGTGGGTGGGTGGGTGGCTTTGGTTTGGTTTGGTTGTTTTGTGTGTTCGTTTGGGTGTCAGGGGGGCAGCGAATGCGAATGCGAACGAATGACTACGATGACGATGACTATGACGACGACAACGACGACGAAGACGACCGCTTGAATGGCACGATGATGTCGATGGTCTATGGTCGATGGTCGGGACACACGTCGCTTAGCGGTGAAGGGCCGCACACGAATGAGCACGAGATGCGATTGCTGTTGTCCACGAGACACGAAATGGTTAGAGATTCGCTCGCTGCTGGCGTCGCTGCTGGCTTCGATGCGGCTGCTACTGCTACTGCTGCTACTGCTGCTGCTTCCTCTCACACTCTCTTCGGCTTTTGCGCTCTGTTAAGTTTAACATTAGTTGAGAGGAAAGCTTTTTGTATGACGTTGCCGCTACTTCCTGCGGAAGCGGCAGCTGTGGCAGATGCAGCAGCAAAGACAGCGACCGGCTTTTTCTTTTGGCTAACGAGAGAGCTCCCAACAGTTGTTATTGCATTTGGCAAAGAGATGGAGAGCGCAGCTAGAGAGAGGCGGCGAATCTTTGAACCCTAGAAGGTCATCTTAAACATTTTTGTACCTAGACTACTCTTCGACAATGACCAATGTTGGATGACCAAACCAGCATAAAAGTTTTTCCCACTTTCCCCTTAATTTTCCCTGCAACATATGCAACAGAAATCGGGGCCATGCCATAGATCGCTGTTAAATGTTAAATTTTAATTCGTAGCTCTGTTCAGTTTTAGCGCTGTTAGCAACGCTGTTAACTCTGTTCAGTTTTAACAGTAACCGCACTGCCAGCGTCAGCGTCTGCGTCAACGGCGACCGCACCGAAAAGAACACGTTTTTTTTTGTCGTGTGCAGAAGGCATTCACACCGAGCAAAAAACAAAAAAAAAGAAACAAAAAAAGCTGCGACTGCTGCACGTGCTGTCCACGTTTTGTCATCCTCTCTCTCTCACGCACTAACATTCTGTCTCTGGCCATCTCTCTCTCACGGACTTAGCCGGCCTCTGTTTGTATTTCGGTGTTTTTGGATGCCCGTTTTTTGCCGCAATCAAAATTGTGAATTTACCAAAAAAAAACAAAACCCGATACAAACACACACACACACACTCGCACACACACGCATGGATGGAGAGAAAGACACGGAGAGATGGTTGCATGGTGTGGCATGCTGCAAGCAACGACAACGTCATAGTTTTGACGTCGTCGGTTGAAAGGTTAAGGCAGCAGCTCTCCAAAAAGTTGTTGTTTTATTTTTGTTGGAGGTGATGCAATCGAATGCCGCATTGAATATACCTTTCCCTCTCTCTCGCTCGCTCTCTCTCTCTATATATCTCTCTTTCTATCGCACACACACACACACACACTCTCTCTCTGTTATTGTTTTTATTAGTATTATTATTATTATTGTTACGCCGAAAAAGTTACGTTTTTAGTGGGTTAAAAGCACGGCTCTGAGAGGAAGAATCGGCGCGCGTGTTAATGCACCACTTCCTGTTGGGCTACTGTACCGTTAGACGGCGGGCGGCCTAACCATTACCGTTATTATTTGTGCAATGCTTCACACACACACACACACACACACACACACCACACACAGTCATGTGAACACACCGCAGAAGAGCCGGCAAAAGAAGCCAGCCGCAATCCGGCTCAGCGCTCTCACTCTCCCTCTCTCACTCTCTTTGAGCTAGAGAGAGAGTAATATGCAACTCTCCCGCTTGGACTCTCTGCAGCAGGGAAAAACTGCAACTCCGGGCATGCGATTTGAAAATTGTGTCGTCAGCTTGACACAATTTTCCAGAATGCGCCTGGAATGAACACAAAACCCAAAAAAAAAAACCAAAAACAAAAACAAAAAAACCCCCAACAACAAGAACGAACAGAATAAGAGCGAGAGAGAGAGACAGAGAAAGAGAGAGATGGAGATGGAGAAACACAAAAACAAAAACGAAGAAAGAACGGGAACAGGCACAGATTGAGGCGAACCATGAAGCAGAAGAAGAAGTAGGGTAGAGGGTATCGGCTATGGGGGGGTATGAAGAGGTGCTCCTCAACTGAGCCATCAATAAGTTCTAGTGCGAAAGCTCTACTACAGGGTATGGGCAAGTGCTACAGAAGAACACGTTCAAGTACGAGCTAGAAAGGGGCATACAGAAAGGGGTCGTCTATTACCCTATAGAGGTACACAGGCTCAACTGATAGAGGATATATTCAAGTGAATATAAATTCGAATATATCGAATATATAAATATATATATATAATATAAAGCAGGGTACCCAGTTGTACTGGATAATGTCCTAGAAAATGTACAGGAAGAAGTGAGTGCTGGGATCCCGGTACAGCGTACAGGGAGAGGTGCAGTGGATGCGGCTTTAGTATGGAGAGGCATACACGGGGGACCGGGGCCTTACACTACCGGGCTAAGGAGTAGGAGGAGGAGCAGGTGGAGGTGGAGCACGAGCCAAAAGAGAGCTTTGCAGATGCGCATTAACGATGCCCCGCGTAAGCTTCGGTAACGAGGTTTGTTTTTTTTTTTTTTTTTTTTTTCGGTAACTAACTCGGTTGTTCTCGGTTGTTCGGTTTCTCGGTTTTCGGGTGTTTTGTTGATGTAGGTCTGGGATTTTCAGGACACGTGTCCACCGGCCGGTGGATGTTGCTTTAAAGCCGACTCCACCGATTATCCGGCTTTATTTTGGTTTTCCCCCTGTCCATCATCAATTATTTTATTTGCTATTATTTTTTTCATAGCCCACACCTAGAACTGTGAATATTCGTTGCATTTCTTGGATACCATTTGTTTTGTTTAAAAAAATGCAACAAAAATCATGTCTCCACGTGTGTTTTTGGTGGGCGTGAGAGTATCCGTATGCATTTATGTTTGTGTGTGTGTGTGTTTGGTATGTTTGCGCCTGTGTGTGTAGGTGTGCAAATGCGTGAGAGTTCAATAGCATTTTGGGCTGGCAAATAAAAAATAAATAAAACCAAAGCTTGCAGCAGCTGCAGCTGCAGCAGAGAGCAGCCGACATAAAGAGAGAGAGAGCGCGACAGAGAGACTGAGAGCAAGAGCGAGTGAAAGCTTAACAGTCTCTGTTAACAGTTTGCCAAAAGCTTTCGCACCCGAAATTCCGTTCGTTCGTTCGTTCGTTCTCTCCACTCAAACCCATGCAAAACCATTCAATGGCCACGATCTGCTGCGGCAGGGTGCAGGTGCAGTGCAGGCACTGTGCTGCGCGATTACGGATTACGGACTCGGACATTCGGATTTTTGGAGCAGCTGCGAATAGATCGTTGACCGGAGGGTTCCACCGGTCATTTTGCTTGCTTTCCACTAATGTTTAAATATTGTACTTTAATTTAATATACAAATTTGTACCCCCCTAGTGCTAAGTACCCGAATATGGATGATCAACCTGATACTGGGTATTATGTCAAAGCACTAGACTATACACAAATGTGTTCAAAATGTTGCATCAAAGCAACAATTCAATAAAAAGTCTTTGGGAATTTTTGTATGTGATATCAGTATCAGTATCAGATCAGTATTCCTTCAACCCTTAAAAGAGAAACAGCTCTAAAAAGTTTTTACGATTCACAGCGTGTTCATAGCCAGAGAAACTAAAGCCAGAGAACAAAAAGCTAGTCATTAAATTTGCTTTTAGTTTGCTTTTAAATTTCAGTTTCGGAAATAATCATATCGCATCGTTTTTATTTGTTCATTTGTTTTTTTTTGTTTTTTTTTTGAAAGAAATGGAAAAAAAATTCTTTTATGTACAAGCCGATAAGGTGACTACACAATGCGAATCGAAGTGCGATGCTCACGTAGAGATGATGTCTTCTGATCGCTTGGATGAAAGACATTTGAAAGCGAACGAGGCGAAAGAAGAACAGGGTAAGGCAGATGAGCAGCAAAACAAAACAGGACTTGAGCATGTGGATGATGATGATTCAATAAGCAAGGAGTTGGATGATCAAAGCGATACTCACGTAGAGATGATGTCCTCTGATCGTTTGGATGAAAAACATTTGCAAGCGAAAGAGGCGAAAGAAGAACAGGATAAGTTAGATGAGCAGCAAAACAAAATAGGACTTGACCATGTGGATGATGATGATGATGATTCAATAAGCAAGGAGTTGGAATGCCTCTGGGCAAGGAAACTGCAAGAAATGCAAAAAACTGATGGTAAGCGTTTTTTTTTTTCTATTATTTGCTGTTATGCACTGAAGCCGCTCACGAAATGGAATGGAACGGAACAGATCGTGAGAGCGAGCGCTAACAGTGAGCTGGAGCTGTTAAAGCAGCGCGCTAACAGGCTATCAAAACTGCGCGCGTTAACAGGCTGGCAAAGCAGAGCGTTAACTCCGCTGTTGCTCTGTTAGAGCTGCTGCCCACCCAACTTCAATTGATCCAACCTTCCATTTATTAACCAATTATCTATAAATGCAATCCTATTATATGTCCATAATCCAACCTATTTATCCATCCATCTATCCCGCCTCTTAGCCGAGCCCACGCCAAAGCCCCTCCTCGCCAGAAGTAAGAGTATGAATGACTTGGCCTATGCTGATGCCGATGCTGATGCTGAACAAAGGACCAATGACACCGACACTAATCCAGAAGTGGTTGACGTTATGCGCCATGATCAAAACACTGACGGGGTGGGCATACCCCTTACCTCCGTGGAGGCGGTAACCCTGCATAGTGGCGATCCATTGCAGCAAGACGGGGTGCAACCGGTCTCGGAGCTCGATGAAGTTGCCAGTTTGGGCGGCACTACGGGTAGCCTTAAATTGGGGCGAAGCTCAGGGGAGCCGAGCACCTATGACCACAACAGCTTGCCCCAAGAAGAGACCCAAGATAGTTCGCTACCAAAAGAGTCATTTGAATGCGTCGCCACGAAGAGCTCACATTTGGTCACTGGCCAATCATTGAACAATCCGGCGGAGGGTCAAAGCTGCAGCGTTCATTCCTCACTGCCTACACTAAAGGACCCCTTGAAGCAGAGACGCAGCTTCAGACATCAGTCCACACAATGTTCAATCTCTGCAAACTCTGAGAGCAATGTACAACGACGTCGGCTAAATTTTGATCTTTTGATGGAATTCAAATCCAAATCCGAATCGGCTCCGAATCAGCCGGAGCCATTGCCAGAATTTCGATTAAATCGGGAGGCTGAAAAATCCAGAATTAAATCATACCTGGAAGCACGGCTGCGGGAGTATACAGCCCGTCCCGCACAAGCCGAGCATATAGCACCAGCTTCGACTTCGACTTCGACTTCGACTTCGAGGTCACTGACGGAACTATTTCGGTGCGAGGGATGGCCCAACCTCCCTGCGTGTGAATCTACAAGCACCCATTGTCAATCGAATACTGCGCCAACATCGCCTGAGCATCAAACTAAAATGTCCCAAGGAGTGTCGGCTAAAATGTCGACCAAGCCAGTCATTGTAGTGTGGACTCGGGGCCAGAAACCATTCTCCACGGGCTCCTCCGAAGCTTCAGACACTGGACACTCGGCTGATTCCTGCACAACCTGCCTTTCTTCATCGGCGACTCAAGAGAACAGATCACCTGTGGAGCCGCCAAGGGCAACCGATGGGCTGCCACTGCAAGGCGAAGTGGCATCCAATGGGACATCTAGCCTACCGGACACAAGCAGCTGTGCGTGTCGTTGTTGTGTCGTGTCCACCGATTGTCGCTCTGCAGCCAGTTCACGGTGCACCGAGCCCGCTGGCTATACGACACGTAGCTCAAGTTCGAGCGCTTCCTATCAGACTGCAGCATTGCCAGCTGATGTCATATTACGCCAACAGGTAGAGCACTCTTCTAGTATGCCATCGACGACAGAAGATGACCGCAATGCGCAAGCCATCGCGGAGGCACGTCCGGAAACTAGCTCAATAGCAGCGATTGTGGTAATGGGACCGGTCAAACGGCGGGCACAGCCAACGGAAAGTGATGAAGAACAGGAGCAGACATTGGAGAAGCCACAGAAGCAAAATCAAACGCTGACCTACCAGTCACAGTTCCCACCCATAGACCATCGTCCAACTTCGGTGGCTTGTGGCAATTTTTCGAGCCGCACTAGTCTGTCTGAGTCATATCACACAGCACGGGATCGCACACCATCGCCTGGGGCCAGGTCAGAGTATTTTTCAGCCATACTTCTTGCTTCTCCCTCCAGCCAGTTGCCCACGGAACAGTCGCCGAACAGTGCCAGTAAGCCAAAGGATCAGTCTTTGGAACCAGCACTGGCACTGGCTACCAATCGCTCCAGCCAGACAGTGTTTCACTCAGCGCGTGAGCCCCAGACAGATCTGGGGACAGATTCTGTAGCCAAATCTACAATGAGAATACGTGACGACAACACTGAATATTATACAGCCAGCGAAAATCCGTCCATGATGCCATTAAACGGCCATCAAGCGCAGTCGCCAGTGCTGGTTAAGTTGCAGATCAGCCAAAGTACGCTGATCCATGAGGTAATGCATACGCACTATCGGCCCAACAGACTGCAGGCCCTGGGCCCCGAGCTGGGGGAGATCAGTGCCGCAACTGAGAACAACGGCAAGAGGGGCCAAGAACGCGACGACAACCCTCTGGCCAGTGAAGCCTCTAACATTGACCAGAAAAAAATCAAACAAGGTACAGACATGAAGGATGACAAAACGGCTACTGAAAGTGACATGACTATAAAGGGAGAGGATAGCGAGACGGAAATTAATTACTTTCAGCCCATGCCACTCAGTTCGGACGCTGACATCATCCAAGTGTGGCAATCGAATGTGCTGATACGCAAGAGGCAAACCCCATTGGATGGCGGGCTCTACAGTCAGACGCATCGATTGCAGTTTCTGCCGATAGACATACTGCATGCGGACACCGCCGGTGGGCCCATTTTCGAGGGCGATCATGTCAAGTATGCCATGGAGCGTGCCAAATACTTTGAGCAGGAATTCGCAAAGCTTTCCGGGGACGAGAGAGTCGAGGATCTGCTGCTGAGACTGCGACAAGTGCGAACCCTGCAGAACACGGCCGAAACGCACTACGAGCCACATCTGAAGGCCACAAGTGCTGGCCATGTCCCGAAGTCGCCCCGAAGTCACTCTGCTAAGGTCTTGCAGGTCAAATATTGCTGCCCCCTGGGCTTGGACGGCTGTTCGACGCTGCTCAATGCGGAACTGCTGGCACACTTTTGGTGCACTCATCTGAAAGATCGCCTGAACCTGCAGCTCAAGGAGGTGTTCGATGACGACAGCGTACTGATTATCTTCAATCCCACGTCCTTTAGACTGGCCACGAACACCTGCATGTCCATGCTGGTGTATGGCGGCAAGCAGGGCGATGACTCCACGCTGCCGCTGAAGCGTTTCATGCCGGTGGGCAATGCAGGCCTGCCTGAGCCCTATGCCCGCTATGTGGGTCATCTGCCCATAATCGTGATGATTTGCCGCAACAAATTGAGTGCCGTCAATGGTAACGAGAGCAAAGATAAAGATGAAGATGAAGATGAAGATGTATTCGCTTTGTGGGTGATCACCATGGACCTGCCACGGCCCGTGCATGTGCTGATGACCGTCTTCAATCGCCGGCTCGACATCAGTCGCAGCTGCATCATGTCGATGCGTGGCCTGAGCAAGTCCCATTGTTGTAAGAATTTTGTCAACGCCAGCAATAACTTTATGCGCATCTCCGAAAACGATATGAAGGTACTGAGCAATGGCTTCACCGAACCAGTCTACGTGGAGGTCACCGTCAAGGAGTTCCCCTACTCCTGCTTCATGCTCATGACAACAGCACCCCTTCCCGAAGTAAACACACAAGCGGATCTACAACCAAAAAATTAATGATGATACTTGGAACTCAAACATAAAAGAAAAAAAAAGGAACATTGTTTTGGAACATTCTGGCTAAAATTTCCACTTTTTGGCTATTTTGTTCCAAATTCAAAAGTAAAAGAAATTCCTAAAATTATGTTTATTTTGTTTCAAATTTATTAAATGTAAAAACAATACTCAAAATTAAAAAAAAAAAAATCGAACCCAAAACCCAAATGATCTGCATTTCGCATTTTTTTTCTTTCTTTCTTTCTTCCTGTATTTCTCCCAGTGTGGCTTAGCTGTTGTCCAGACGGTGAGCTGTGCCATGGCGCTTCTGAATTTCACTTGCCAATTTTTGTGTAATTGTTTGACAAGTATTTTCAGTAACAATAAATGCGTTTGGATCTAAGACACATCCACCTGAGACTTGAAACATTTTTGAACCTATCAAACATTAGCCATATAATTCCGAAACAAAGTGTATAGCTTGTAAAACTGTAAATCTACACTCCGAAAAGTTTTAAATATTTGTAATAATTTTACTTGTTTAATCGGCACCTCTACTCTGTATCAGCATCTAAATGATACCCAAATTATCAATATGATACTTTCAAGTGCTTAAATTACTGTACACATTTATTGTTTGAATTTAAACCCTTAATACCTTAATTAGCTTCCATGCTAAAAACCACTTAAAAAATAAATGAAAAAGTAAGTCTCTGCATATTTATACCTCCAGATACTTGGCTATAGAAAACGAATGCCAGCAGTCAAGATAAGCTGCAAATTGAGCTGGATTATTTGCTCATTGTTTTATATAAATTGAACAAAAATTGGATGACTAAACAAATATATTTAGCGCTGTGCATCAATTAGCAGTAAATAAATAAATAAATGAAAATAGTGCAAATTAAGCCTGATGGCTCAAATTTTGTTGCAGCTAATGTTATCAGAGATTGTACGGGATTCTCCGTTTCTCCATTAGTATAGTTTGGGTCTCGCACCTGTGCGGACACCTGAGCTTATATCTTTGGCTTATCGGAGGGAGCTACAAATTGGGGCTCGTGGCAGGCAGCTGGCCAGCGCTATTTTCTGCTCGTTTCTGTGGGTGGCGGCTGTTGAACACCTGTTTGACATTCGAGCGATCGACGATAAGCCTCGCTGTGCTCTCGAGACCCTTCAGCGCCGTAAAATTATATTGCCGCCTTCAGCTGGCAACGTCGCCAGCTAATTCTTAATCTGGCTCTGAGGCCCGACCACCGCCTTGCTATCTGCCTTCCCCTAGAGTCCAGACAGTGTGTGTTAGCTGGCCGGATGAATGATTCATTAAGAAATACCAGAACAGAACAGAACCGAAACTGATCAAACTTTGTGCTGCCGATTGCTTGGCATAGGTTTTTCACGGCACAGAAGGGGGTTTTCTTCTTGGAAATTACTAGAGAACTCAGTGGAAATAAGAAGGGATTAAAGGGACATACTTACCCTACTTAGCTTGCTGTTTAAATATGTAATTATTTATGGCTTTACTTTCGCTTTCTACTTTCTTTTAAATGTATTTGATTGATTCATTCATGAATCTAGTTACTCATCTTGAAAGATAGCAGAGCCAACTTTATAATCAATCAATTGGTAGTTTATTATTTATTTATGTGACATCAATAGCTACAACTAAAATATTTAATTTATAAATTTTGTAATATCAAGATTGAAATTATTTAAAATAATTTTATTATGACATTTTTAATTGATACATTTGCAATATAAAGAATTATATACATATCTACATATACAAATTAATAATGCAATAATTAAAATTTGTATGCTTTGCTGAAAATGATTTATTCTGATATATGTAAAATATATATGATTACATAAAAAATTTTATTTAAATTTAATTATGCACCCAACAGACAAGTCTCTGGATTAAAAAAATTTAATTGAATATCAAACTAAAGGGAGGATTCGATAAGTAAAATAAAAAATAAATAAATATATAAGATAATAAAAAAAATTTTTTTTTAAATTTTAAATCTTAAAATTTAAAAGTCAAATTATATTAAATTATATTTATAATAACTACAATAACGTTATCTTTTAGTATACAAACGTTAGGGATTAAGTATAAAAATAAAAACAATTATATAGCAATAAAACTATAGCTATAAATAAATAAATACCAACACAAATACAAACATCTGATGCACAAAGGTTTCACGATCATTGTCGCTATGTGCCCCCGACCTAAGCCCTGGCCAAAAGCTAATCCGCCGATGATAAAGTCAATTCCCTGCCGATTAGTGCTGTTTGCAGAAACAGAACCCATCGGAACCCATCAGAACCCGTCAGAATTCAGAAGCTTATCGCAGGAGATAAGCCCACACGCTGGTAATAATCACCCAAAACTGAAGGGGGAAATCTTATCGCCACTCTGCGCCACTCATTGATAGCTTATTGACGGGCTGCAGCAAAGTGTTTCAGTTTGGTTTAGTTATTGGTGTGCTGCCGGCACGAAAAGGTTCGACGCGCTTTCTACCACACAAAAAGTGTTTCGGGTTTTCCCTATATTCTTTTTTTTTTTTTAGTTGTTTTTCCAACTATTCTGTGATAATGAATGTGAAATATTTGTGGCTGATTTGTGGCGTATTGGCCGTGGCATTTACATGCAACAAAGCACAGGAGGAGCAGGAATTGGGTTGCATTTGGTATGGCCAGAGTCATCAGATTGGCAATCACTGGCAGAATAAGGCGGACACGGAACCGGCCAGAGCACTCAACAGTCCGGAAGCCGAGGCCGTATTCGCCCGCCGCTGTCCGGTGCTCTACAAGGAGTACAAAGGAGACAGTGGCCAGGAGGAGCTGAAGCTGTGCTGTGATGAGAATCAGATTCATACCATGGATGCGGGCCTGTCGCAGGCGGATGGTGTATACTCCAGGTGTCCCACATGCACCAGGAACATGGGACAGACTGTGTGCGCCATGACCTGTGCCAAGAATCACACACTCTTCCTCACGGCTAAAACTGATTTTCTGGATGGTGGCCTGGAATATGTGGAGTCCATTGAGTATAGAATATCGGATATGACCGCACAAAAGGTCTACGATAGCTGTGCTGGCATACAGCACACCCAGACAGGGCGTCCGGCCATGGATCTCGGCTGTGGTGCCTACAATGCCAAGACCTGTAGCTACCGCAGATGGTACGAGTTCATGGGCGATGTGAATGGCGATTATGTGCCCTTCCAAATTACGTATTTATGGTCGGAGGATGCCGAGGAGGGCTCCGAGGAGCAGTACCTAGAGCTGTTCCCCTTGGACTGTGGCGAGAGGTACGACGACAGCTATGCCTGTGCCTGCATCGATTGCGAGCAGTCATGTCCGCTGACGGATGCACCCACCGGGCCGCTGGATCCCTGGCAGATAGCCGGCCTGTATGGTGTGACCTTCATTGTGTCCCTGATCCTGGGCCTGATCCTTGCCGTCGTCATATGCTGGGGTTCCCTTGGCCGCACGGCACCGCCGAGCATCTGCATGCCGACCCTGTTTGGGGAGTTCTTCTATGTGGGATTTCGTGCGTGGGGCACATTTTGTGCCAAACATCCGGTACTGGTGCTGGCCCTGTGCTCCTGGGCCATTGGCGGCATATCGTACGGCATTAGGTACATGAACATCACCACAGATCCCGTGGAGCTGTGGGCCGGCGACGAGAGCCAAACGCGCATCGAGAAGGACTACTTCGATCAGCACTTTGGACCCTTCTATCGCACCAATCAGATCTTCATCAAGGCCATCAATCAGACCAATGTGTGTGGTACCCCCCAAACAAAAGCGACTGCCTGGCAAGTGCTGATCCGCATTCTCTTTTTCCAGTTCACCCATGAGGCTGCCAGTGGGTTGCTCAACTTTGGACCTGCCTACGAGTACAATTTCCTGAAGGAAGTCTTCGAGCTGCAGGAGGTCATTATGAAGTTGGGCCTGGACGAGGGCGAGGGCATGGACAAGATCTGCTATGCACCCGTGCTGCTGGCTGGAGAAGTCGCCACTGTGGATGACTGTGTGATACAGTCGATATATGGCTACTTTCAGCACGATATGGATGTATTCAATACCAACTACGAGGACAACAACGGCTATACGATCAACTATCTGAACAAGCTCGAAGATTGTCTGCGGTATGTCTCACTCTAGCTCATTCAACCTCAATTCGAACCTCTTTGCTTAATTATTGTGCATACGAGCATTGTTAATTTTAATTTTAATTGTAATTAATTTATAGAGTACCCATGTTGGAGGATTGCTTTGGCCCCTATGGTGGTCCCATTGAGCCCGGCGTTGCTGTGGGCGGCATGCCCAAGGTGGCCGTCGGCGAGGATCCCGACTACATGATGGCCACCGGCCTGGTACTCACCTTCCTGGGCAAGAATCAGAACGATGCCTCCAAGCTGGAGCCCAGCAAGAAGTGGGAGAAGCTATTCGTGGACTATCTCAGGGATTACAAGAGCGATCGCCTGGATATTGCCTACTCAGCGGAGAGATCCATTCAGGATGCCATTGTGGAGCTGTCCGAGGGCGAGGTGGGCACCGTGGTCATCAGCTATTTGGTGATGTTCATCTATGTGGCCATCGCCCTGGGTCGCATACGCAGCTGTCGGGGATTCCTGCGCGAGTCTCGCATCATGCTGGCCATCGGTGGCATTGTCATAGTGCTGGCATCGGTCACCTGCAGTCTGGGCTTCTGGGGCTACATGAATGTGACCACCACGATGCTGGCCATCGAGGTGATACCCTTCCTGGTGCTGGCCGTTGGCGTCGACAACATCTTCATCATGGTGCACACGTTCCAGCGATTGGATCGCAGTCGCTTTGAGACCACACACGAGGCGATTGGCGAGGCCATCGGCCAGGTGGGTCCATCGATCCTTCAGACGGCTGGCAGTGAATTCGCCTGCTTTGCAATTGGGGCGCTGTCAGATATGCCCGCTGTGAAGACATTCGCCATGTACGCGGCGGCGGCCATCCTGCTCGATTTTCTACTTCAGATCACGGCATTTGTGGCCCTGATGGCCATCGATGAGAGAAGGGTGATGGACGGTCGACTGGATATGTTGTGCTGTGTGCAGACCAAAAAGAAGCCCAAGCAAGATGCGCCCAAGGATGTGGGCGTGCTGGAGCAGATGTTCAAGAACTTTTATTCACCCT